CACAAAACAGACAAAAAAACCAGGGTGACTTTCTTTAGATTTCAGCGTTTTTATCTCTTCCAAATATTAAAAAAAAAAAATGATCCACCTCGTCTCCGTAGAAACCTCAGGCTGTTAAAGCATAAGAACACATTTGTTCACCTCTCTCCTGCTCTTCTTATCTGACCAATGAGGTCTCATCCTGTGTGATTGTCACGTCTGAGTGTCCTTCTGCCTTCCCCCCTGGCTGTCAGTTTCCATGGCGACTATCAATGCTGCGTAGAGGGAGCGTTGCCAGGGGTAACCAGAGTTGGGGACTTAATTAAACAGATCAATGCGTGCTCGCTGGACGCGCGGTGTGCATGCCATTGTTCTGGATTTTTTTTGTCGTCGGTGTCACGTCATGTTTGTTTGTGAATCTGCTGCGCGTTCAGTTCAACAAGCTGCTGTTAGCGTGTGTGTGTGTGTGTGTGTGTGTGTGTTGTGTTAACAGGCTCAGCAGGAGTCCCAGGTGGCTGCTGGTGGAGCTGAACACTGTCAGGACTGTCTGTGCATGTTTCCTCTCCACACGCAGCGTGTCAGCACTCATAAAAACTCCCCCGCCTCTCCTCCCCTCACTCTTGTCTCCTTCTGCTTCACGTTTACATCCACATCATCACACGAGCTGCTCTTACCCACCTTGCTTTTCTGTCACTCTCTGCCCCTTTGTCTCCTCTTTCCATCCTGGACATTTCAGCTCAATTTGCCCTCAGCGACGCGTCAAAATCCACCAATCGCGAGACAGCGTTGAAGGGGGATGCTCTCCCAGGGAAGAGGTGTCGTGGCAACCTGTGCTTTGTACCGCAACAAGTCCTGAGTTAGCCAATAGACACGCAGGTGTTTCAATCTTTATTGTTTTCATTAAGCATGCTAGCAGCTAAGGATGAAGGGGAGGCTGTGTCTGTCTCTTCCTGTCATGTGATTTTACCCGGACTGAAATATCTCAGCGACTTTTTTAAATTGATGCTGTAAAATGTTGCTCAAATTGGTGACTCCAAGAATAGGACTGTAAAAAAATACTGATGTTTCCTTTATTACAGTAACAATAAGACCCTTTAAATCACATTTAAAAATGGATTTACAGATTGCAAGCAAAGTGAATCCAATTTTAACAAGAAAATCACAAAAACAAGCAAATCAGGAAACGCGGAGGGCCAAGGAAAGAACCGGCGCAACATGACCAGAAGTGAGACCAAGGGGACAAAAGATGTGAAAAAACGTTTAAAAAAAGAGCAGAGAGGAAACAAAGAAGAAGAAATAAAAGATCACACGGGTGGTGGGGGGGGGGGGACTCATGTGGTCTGGGAAATACCAGACAGTGACTAACGGATTTTTCAGAAATGTAAAAGTGAGGTTTCCACATGGTGGTAAGAACCAGATTAGAAAAAAAAAGAGGAATTGGTGAAGAGGTCGTATTTCTAGTGCCGAGTTTGTTCATTAGTCATCTGAACCTCTGCTGCTCTGTTTCTGTTTAGACGAGCTCAAAGCAGAGCGCTGACGCTGCAGGAAAAAATGCCAAACTGGCATCTCTGTGTTTTTGTTTCTCTTGGTTGAATTGAAAGTTTTAAACTTTGGGATTTAAAAGTGGAGTCAGTGTGGTGACCGGCTGACCTCTGAGGAGTGATGTGGATCCAGTCAGCTTCATCAGGTTTTATCTGTCTTAGGAGCAGAGTGAGACGTCTCTGCAGGAATGACGCTCCCTGTCTCATCTTGTCCTCCTGTCTCCTCTGATATCGGTTCATTTAGTCCACTCTGACAACGGGCCCATCACGCTCTTTAAAGGGATGGAAGTGAGTGACGTGTTGGCGCTGGTGTGTTGGAGGCGTTCCAAAACAATTACAAGTTTGCCAAATAATCACTTTGTGTCCGCGCTCTTGTTCTCTTCTAATAGTGTAACTGAAGCAGCTGAGGAGCGTGCATTAAACTTGCATCGTCTTTGTGTGACAGCAGAAAATGTTTAAATCCCGGTTTGCTTTTGTTTTCCCTCCTCCACACTTTGCTTGGTGACAATATTTGATGACCGGGCTCTTTTGTGATTCCGTCAGTGATTGACAGCTTCTTTCTCTCTCTCTCTCTTTTTAATTGCCTTTTTTTGTTGCCTGTATTGTTTTAAAATGTCAACCTGTCGGCTAAATTTAACACCGAATACTTCGTTACAAGTGCCAAAATGTTGCACAGAACTAATCAGTGTTAAACCAGGCGGCCACTTCTGGTGTTGAAACCGATGCTTAAGTGCAACAAAAACTGCAGTTCCTTGAGTGTCCACTTGAGGCCGGCTCAAAAAACCAAAGAATCTCCATTAGATCCCATTTTAAACTCCCCAACTTCACAGCAGAAATAAACAGCTTGGGGCATTGTTTAGTCTAGTGGTTATGGTGCGCACCCCATGTACAGAGGCTGTTGTCCTCATTGCAGCGGCTGTGGGTTCGAATCCAACCTCGGCCCTTTGCTGCATGTCGTTCCCTCCCTCTCCTCCTAAGGTTTCCTGTCTCTAAATAAATAAAGGTAAGATGGCCAGAAAAAACAAAAAGAAATAAACGGCTTGGTACAAAAAGAACGGGGTTTTGGTCATTTGGTTGTTCTCTGACAGCGTGCTCATGCTGCGACCAGCGCCAAGTCACGTTTGGCTTTTCTTCCCCTTTGTTTGTTTTTTTTTGGATGTACTTTTTGTCCTGTTCTGCCTTGCCGCAAAACCAATCGTCAGACATATAGTATAAAAGTCGACAAATAGATGTTGAAAATAAATCTTAAGTTTGATAAAGCTGCATGAAGAATAAGTCTTTTGACAAAAAAAAAATCAGTTTTGACCTCCACAGAGAAGAAGCTGTATCATTTAAACATGCCTGATTTAGTTTGACTGGTTATTTAGGAAATTTAGTTATTTATAAAAGTTTAGTGTTCGTTGGAAAGTTTCCCTCCAAGCCAAAGAATCTGATGGTTTCTCAATGTTGCCAGATCTTTGAACATCTATGTGAAATTTCCCATGAGTCATTGCACTTCCTGTCATAAAGTGTCTTTGTCTGTTTTGTAGCCCTTCCATTACGTTGTCTGTTGTACTGCCAGTTCCAGCTGAACAGAAAACAACCTGCTGGTTCGACCTTTCTAATGTGTCGTCTCCAAACACAGCGAGTCAGGAAAAAAAAACTCCATGAAAACTTTATTGACACTCCTGAGCAGCTCTGTGAACACGCCTCACTTCTCTGTATTCTCCCTCAGTATTGAACTTTGTGACTCACATTGATCGCCCTCATCCTGTCTCCTCTCTCTCTCTCTCTGTTGTTACTAAGTGATTACTCCATTGATCACCTCTCCTCTCTCTTCTCTCACTACAGAGAGCTCTCAGGATCTTCAGCGTGTCCATTAGTGGCCGTATTGGAGATCTTTACTTCTTAGAAACTGCGACTGAGTTAACTGTGAAGTTGTAAAGTTACATCTCAGTTTATATGCACTGAAAACGTCGGACTCCGTGTACCATGGTGCATTGCGGTTTGCCCCTGGTTTGGGGTTTTCATACACATCGTTGTGTCTAACCCTAGCCCTCTGAGGGAGCAGGTTTGTCTCCTTGTACGACTGAAGGATGGAGCATTGGTACATTTGTCTTTATACGACATGAACATCCTTCTTATTTTTGTTCTCTGCTGAGTCCTGAAGCTCTCAGCAGCTGTAGTCTTCGATCTGATGGACTCATCATGTACGTCATTGCACAAACTCGCCCTGTCTTTGCTGCATGCGTGCAAAAAAGGAGGATCACTCCGTCCCCCGTCCCACCTCCACAACATTCAGGTTGATAATATTCATACAAATATCGCAGCTTCAAACAGCAGTCTGAATTTGGCTACACTTTCAGTCGAGCGAGAAACAGGCAAATATGGTTTTAGCCACCTGCTAGCAATATGTCCACCCGTCAGACTGATCAGTCACACCCCAATTATGCATAACTCTAAGCATTCGTCCAATCGTCCATTGGTTGAGTTATAAAAGAAAATTCCCCCCTGTGCAGTGTGTGCCAATTAAGACATGAGCCATTTAGAACTAGACGTTCTGTTCCAGGCTGCAAACACAGCAGAGAGGAAACAATAAAAGCCATAAAGAGCAGACAAAGAGCATGAGTAAGGCACAAAGGAGTTAAAGCAAGACAGAAATGAAATCCATCAAACAATGAAAATGGAGAAAGTTAATAAACGATTTAAAAAAATTATGCAATGTATGACTTTTCTCCTTCAAGTATTCATTTTAATACAGGAGTTAAAGGTACTTTCAAGTTTTTTGGCCGTCCTAAGGTCAAGTCAAGTTTTTTATGAAGCACATTTCAGCAACAAGGCAATTCACACAAGACATCAGAAGCATCAAGACAAAGAGAGAAAGAAGCATGAGAATAGAAACTTGCATGTACCACAGACTCGCTCTGTCTTTGGTGAAAGTGCTTTTAGTCGTCCCCGTCTGAGCTGCGGAGTCACCTTGAATTAGTCGACCATTTAGTCGGTTTGGAAGATTTCAAAACGAGGATGAAGGAACATCTGACCGCTGTGTGCACATGTTCCTCTGCTTAACGCTTCTGATTTGTTTGATTGATGTCATTTCTGTTTATTGTCTGTCTTTAGTTCTCTGTGTGAAACTTTGTAAAACCAGATCTTGTATCCCAACGAGAATACTTTTGTGGCAAAATAAATTAAATATATAAATATGCTGCCAGTGTCTGGTGAAAATGATTCATCAGAGTGTCGACTATGCGTCTCTTCCCCTTTGGCAGATGTTTGGATCTGAAGTCGATTCTCAGAGGGACCAGCCGTTTTAAAAACTGTGATGTAATTTAGTGTCACATCAAAAATGTAGCGCAGTGAAGCTGTAACGTCCTGGAGGATTGTAAATGAATGTCTCGCTATAATTTCCTCTTTTTTTTTCCTGACTTAATAATTTGACTTGTCGGTCACCACATCTTCCATTTTTTTTAACTCCTCGCTTCATGCGTCTCTTCCCCTCAGGTTTGCCGTCATCGCCTCGGGCTGTGCCAGCTGTCCCAGGCTGGTGTGTCGCAGAGAAGGCTGCGGTGCCACACCTCTCAGCCTCCGCAGAGAGCGTCTGGATCAAAAGTAACCACAGTCTCACGCTTTCAAGCACACACACACACATGCACAATGTGCGTGTGTGTGTGTGTGTGTGTGTGTGTGTGTGTGTGTGTGTGCTTGTTGCAGACAGATAAAATCGTCTCCCACAGCATTTCCTTCTCGAAAATGTTTTCACACCTCAGAGAACTCTGTGCCTCTGGTGTCTGTGTCTCCGTCAGTCTTCATCACATGTCAGTCACCTCGCTCTGAGTCAGTCTCGGCTCCCCGCTGTTCTTTCTGCTGAATGCGGCGTTCATCAGAGCGCGGAAACGCTATTTATACCGCGGTTACTGCTCTGCAGAGTTTTGTGACATCTTGTCATACTGTATTTTTATACGGGATCGCTGAGAACGGGCTGCACGGTGTGGTCGTAACCGTCGTAGTGGCTACCTTTGGTCTCTTTTGTTTTGACAGTCTACTCAAAGTTGCTTGCTGCATTGCAGATATTTTGTACTTAAAGCCCTTTTTTTTTTGCTTTTCATATCTTGAGATAAAATGTTTATCTGGATTTGTCAGGTGAATGTGGCTCATAATGAGAGGAAGGAGATTTATTTTTGGGGCTGTTGTGTCCTTTATTTGACAGGACAGTGGATAGATTCAGAAATCAGGGGGTGAGATAGAGAGTGGAATGACAGACGGGAATGGAGCCACAGGTCGGATTCAGAGCCGAGCCGATTAAAGCCTCTGTACATGGGGCGTGCACACTGACCACGAGGCCACCTCACTTTAACTATTAGTGTCTTGTTTGTAAAGAGAATGTTTACATCCTGATAGGGCCACCAAAAAGTATTTTCCAAGAGCCTCAGTCAGTACTTCTCTCATCCCAAACCTAAAAAAAGGGAACCAGGAGGCGATAAAAATGTAGCTTGAAAAGTTGAAAACATAGTCAGACACCAGGGAGAGAGAGAGAGAGAGAGGAATGAGATGTGGGAAACGAGCCAAAGGTCGGATTTGAACCTCGCGAGGACTAAAGCCTCTGTGCATTGGGTGCACACTAACTGCTAGGCTATCGCAACATAAGGTGATATTTTTGACTAGAACGTAGACACTACACTTTCTATGATTTGAGTTTTTTGCAGTGTATCTATACTGGTAAAGAGCCAAGTGATGGTTAGCTTAGCATAAAGGCTGGAAGCATGAACTTCTAAGACAAACATTCAGTGTGATGATGTTTGAATTGTTTAGGAGCTGAAGAGCTGACTTTGGGATAATTGGACTGAACTGAGCTAGCTCTTCCCCCTGTTTGCAGTCTTTGTGCTAAGCTACACTAACCATCTCCTTTCTGCAGCCTTTTGCCAGAGTTTGGCGGTTGTGCTTGAACGTTTTTGTTGTTGTCATGACAGATACAAAGAGAAACATCCAAACAGTCCTCCGCCCTTGTGCGTGCAAACATCCTTACATGTGTTGGTGTGTCTTTAATTCCATTTTGATTAAATATCTATTAGCTAAATCCCTCCAGCTGTCCTCCGACTCTCTCTGTCTCTCCTTAACTCACCGCTTCCACTCCGCCTCTCTCTGCCAACTCTTCACAAGATCTGACATCAATCCAGGAGACAGAGACTGAGTCATAAAAAAAAAAACCCAGGCCGCTCCCTCTTTATCTGTCTGTCTGAGCGTTTAACACCTGCCACTTAGTCAACAGTTTACAGACAAATGTACGGAGACAGAAGAAGAAGAAACGGGAGGGAAGGGAAGGAGAGATAACAGAAGGATTGATGATAGAAGAAGAAAGAGAGTAATGGATCAGACGAGTGCAGCAGTTTGTCCTCTGATGCTTTTTAAAGGAAAAAGATCCAGGAAGTAAAAAAAAAAAAAAAAAAAACCCAAAAAAACAGTTTACTTTGTGTTTGAAATCTGGATGCTGGGAACAGTCTCTGCTCTTTAAAGGGCATTTTGGCATTTTAACTTGAAGAGACTGTGGCAGATGTTTGTGTGTGTGTGTGTGTGTGTGTGTGTAGTTTTAATGTTTGTTATTCTGCTGACACGCCTCAACAAACTCTCATGTCTCACTTTCCCCCGTGCGTTCCCTTCCTCTGACTTTGGTGCCGACTGAAAAAGGGAAATCGACGACTTAATGGAACTGCTTTGAATTTTTCTTGTATAAGATTCCTCTGGATTTTTTTTAAATTTTACCTGGGGGGGGTTAACATCTCATTTCTCAGCAAATCAAAGCAGCTCTTAACCTTCTTTTCAGATTGAACTCTTAACTGTGCTCACAATCAGCTCAGAGGATTTAACCCAGCGTTGCAGCTCAGATGCTCTCACACACAGACTGTATGAAACCTGGACGTAGTCACGGTGGCGTCCTCAAAGGATTTGATGGCGGCCACCATCTTCAAACATAAGCCCTTTTTCAGACAAGAATGTTTGACTCGTTTTCATTAAACCAGATGCTAAGAATTAAGCATGGAGCAGTGTTTGTGAGAGTTTGATGACCCCAGAGGATTCAACAATAAGTGTTTATTTATTTTATTTAAGGGCCATGACGTCATTTCTTTCTAACTGAGTCACTGGGAATGTTTTGAAATCGTGGCCGAGTTTCAAACCATTAATCCGTTTGGTCAGTACTCCAGGGGGATGTTTGGACTTTAAGGAACTGTTGACATAGTGAGAAGTCAACTGTTTGACTTTATTTCTGAGCAATCTGTGAAACTAAGGCCAGGAGCTGGTTGGTTTAGCTTAGCATAGAATCTGGAATAAAGGGGAACAAATTGCCTTGCTGGCCACGTCATAATCATTTATAAAATCATGATATTAAGTGAATATTTTTAAATATATCGACTTTTCTTTGAACCCGTTTTCACCCACACAGAGAAAAGAGAAAGTTAAAGACAAGAAGAGCTCAAAATGTCTTGATGTTTACTATCTGCTGACCCCGTCCCTGCTTCTGTCCTCAGCTGATGACATCAAGCCGTGCCCTCGCTGTGGTGCCTACATCATCAAGATGAATGACGGGAGCTGCAATCACATGACCTGCGCCGTGTGCGGCTGCGAGTTCTGCTGGCTCTGCATGAAGGAGATCTCCGACCTGCACTACCTCAGTCCTTCCGGCTGCACCTTCTGGGGGAAGAAGCCATGGAGCAGGAAGAAGAAGATACTGTGGCAGCTGGGCACTCTGATCGGAGCTCCGGTCGGAATCACTCTCATCGCGGGCATCGCTGTTCCCGCCATGGTCATCGGTATCCCTGTTTATGTCGGCCGCAAGGTGAGACACCTTGAGACTTTTCCTAGTTACTTCAGTTTGTGGCATTTTCTGTTTTACTCGACTGTAAAAATACTTTTAATTAGAGTACATAATGACCCGGTTCAATGTGCACAACCTAAAGAAAATGATCTGCATGTGACTCCCTCCACTTTCTGCAGAATAACTGACGACAGGTTTTCACTTTGTGTCACTATCAATCAGAATTTTATGTACTTTTTTTGTTTGTTGATAATTAAAACAAAAGCCTTCTTTGGACACGATGCAGGGCTCAAACATGTTCAGTCAGAAATTCATCAAAACTCACTTTGAAACTAAATCCAGAACCTCCCTGTCAAACAGAAATCAGGCCAACTCCACGTCTTTGAGTGAAAGCTAACACAAGGTCCCTCGTTTTGGAAGGAGCTTTATCCGTGTGTTATTTCACTTCACTATGGTCATATTTTCGTCACCTTGCGGCCAAATTTGCCGGTTTGATTTGCGTCCAAGCGCTGAATTGTCTCCACTCCCTAACTCGCCTGCTGCGCTGTCTTTGGCTCGGGGAAACACATCCACTCCCCGCCAAGAAACGTCCCGAGTCGACCAAAACATCAAGACCAGTCAGAGGACCGGCTCTCTGCAGACATGGTACCGAGGCCCAGAAGTGATGATTGAATGGCTTTACTTTAATTAAATTTTTCATGAAAAGCTCTTGACTCCATCTATAAAGAGAAACCGACAAGTTGGGAAACACTATTTATGTGTTTGAAGTCTTAATCTGACACTTTGTTATCTTTATTCAATCCTATATACACGAGGACATTGGTTCCCATAGTGGGGTCCAGACCCTCTTTGGGGGGGCGTCAAAGATCTCAAGTTGGGGGGGAGGCTGTTTTTCCTCTGAAGTCATAAAAATATGAACTTAAATCATGATGACACATTTACTGGATGGTTTTCCTTTGTTTATAGCTAGGATGCCAGCAACACTTTTTTAAGCCTCAGGGTCACTTTCATGACGTTTCTACTCCAGAAATCAGAAGTGGAAAACCACAGAGCTGTGAACTTACACACTCTCATACAAACACACACACACACACACACACACACACACACACACACTCTCACAGTTTACAGCACACACACACACACTCTTACAGTTTACAGCACACACACACTCTCACAGTTTACAGCACACACACAGCCCTTCTTTCTCAACCCTCCTCCAGTGATTATCTGGAGTTTTAAACAATGCAGAACAGAAAACATTTTCTAAGTTTCAGTTTGAAAAGCTGGTTTTCTTAGAAAGAAAGTACCTTCGTTTCTCTTTTCAGCGTCACAGAAAAGCTCCAATCACACCGACAACACTGACCTGAAGAAAAAGACTTCTGCTCTTTAAAATCAGAACACTAGACAAACTAAGCGTCTCGTATTGTCTGAATTTAATGACGTGAGGTCATTAAGGAATATTAAACAATGAAAAAATATAAAGACTATATATGTAAAGACGAAATATATCAACTGTAATGAACAAGTTACTGCATCTGAGTTAAAATACAAAAAACACATCAGAAAACTTGTAAAATATTTCTGTTTAAGTTTTCAAATGTCAAGAGCTCTACAGCTTTTACAACAAAGATTTGCAAAATCAACCACTCGAGTTAAGGTAACTGATACATCCTCCTGAATAATACGAGTCCTTGGATTATTCAGGAGGATGTAGCCGTTACTTTAATTGGACCAGAAACAAACGGGACGCCACACAGTTCAAATTAAGATTTTAAACGCCCTCCAAAGTAATCAAAGAAACAAATGAAACCAAAGGGACTGGAGACTAAAAAGGACAAAAGATAGAAAGGTGTTGAGGTGTTGACCTCCCCCTGAAACTACCTAAGAAAACGAACCCACAGGGGCGCTGGTGGTGTAGTGGAGAGGCTGTAGTCCACCAAGCGGGCGGCCCAGGTTCAAATCCTCCCTTCCTCCGCTCTCTCTCACTCTCTCCCTGGTTCCTGACTCTACCCACTGTCCTGTCTCTACAATGAAGACAAAAAGCCCAAAAACAAATCTTTTAAGAAAACTAAACTACTGAAGAAAAAAAATAGAACTAAAGGGTATCTCCAGCCCAAAGTAAAATATCCAAACCCAGTAATCTAAACATGCATGAGTAAGAAATACCTGAGAAGTGGAAAAAGAGACGGAGCCTAAGACTTAATGTTATTATTATAATTGATTTACAAGTTACTGGAATCAGAAACAGCACGTCTTCTTCTCCTCTGAACTCGATGACTGCACCGTTGAAAGCAGCTCTGGTGTCTGTGTGTGTTTCATTATTTCATGTTTGTGTAACGGTGTGTACTGAAGGCCGATGGTCTTTCAAAATATCTGCAAGAGGAAGAAATGACTCGACAAGGGCTGCTTGGACGCTCTGTAGCACCCCCTAGTGGAGAACAGTGGAACAACACGTTCAACACTGCAGACCTTGAAAATTCTGAATGTGGTTATTTACTGTAAATGAGTTTTAAATATGAGTATTCATAATCAGTGAGAGTCAGATTAGTATTTAACCTCCAGCCCTGCCTGTGCTAACCTGCGGCGTCTCTCTCCTTCTGCTGCAGATCCACGCCCACTACGAGCTGAAGAAGTCGTCTCGTCACAGAAGGAACCTGGCCATCACAGGGGGCGTGGCCTTGTCCATCGTCACAGCCCCAGTCATCGCAGCTGTCAGCGTGGGTAAGAAGCTCGACGGGGCCGTCAGTGATTATTATTCGCTGTGAAGGTGTCGGGATGACGACCAAAAAAAAAACCAAACAGCAGGGAGACACACTGCTGTTCACCGTGAAGAAGACAGGAAGAGATTCTGTTGAATAAAACATACACAGGGATTTCTATTTATGCTTTCATAGAATAGAATTGAATAGAAAAGAGTAAAATATAATTAGAAAAAAAAACATTTTATGTAAAAATCGAGAGCTCTTTAACTCTATAAATGCCAAATGGAGCAGCAAGAAATTCAGCCAGTCTCACTGAGTAGATCCTGAAGTATGGACTAATTAAAAGTAGACTTTGAATCATGAATTATGAATCCAGAATCGCTTTGAATCAAAAATAGATTCTGAATGGAATCGTGACCCCAAGAATCAAAATCGAAATTGAATCATGAGACACTCAAAGATTACCCTAACTATAATAGAGTAGAGTAGAAAGGATCATTTACTTCTTAAATACATCTTTAGTAGCCAGAGGGACCCTATAGTGCCTCCCAGAGCGCTACAGTCATAAAACGTAAGCTACAACCTGACAAGAGATAACAGATTTTAAGAAATGCAGGCTTGAACTACGGGAAAATCTATCTCTAATAAAACTATCAGAAAATGTTTATTCTTTATTATCTTTTTCTTGCGTCATGAACCAAACTTTATTTATTTTTACAGGGTTAGACATTTCACAGTAAAGTCGTCACACACATGTTTTTAATTAGAAGAATAAGAAAGAAATGGCGCTATGAATCAAAATCTACTTCTTCAAAGTTCTCTTTTAAGCTAATTTACAAAAAATGTGAATTACAGTATAAGGGTTTGGGTGATAAAGGTGTTAATGTAGTTCGATGTGATTGTTTTCAGGTATCGGCGTTCCCATCATGCTGGCCTACGTGTACGGCGTGGTGCCCATCTCTCTGTGTCGGGGGGGAGGCTGTGGTGTCAGCAGGGGGAAGGGGCGAGGAGTGCGCATCGACTTTGATGAAGACGATGGTCCAATCACAGGTGAGGACACAAAACTACATTTACAATTAATTAAATGTCAACTTTTTCATTTGTACTAAAAACCATTCTCTTTAAAATGTTTCAGTGGCGGATGCGTGGCGAGCCCTGAAGTCGCCCAGCCTGGGAGAGAGCAGTCTGGACGGGGCGGTTAGCGGGATGAGCACCACCTCCCCCAGCGAGGGGCTCTCCGTGGCCCCCGGGACTCTGGGGGACACTCCCCACTTTAACACCCTGGCGGGCGGCGCCCTGGGGACACGCACCAGCAAATACAGCAGGTGAGGAAGAGCTGAGGTCAGAGTTCAGGGGTTTCTGTTCTTTCCTGTTCTGCTCTAATGTCGTTGTAGTGTAGTTGTTAAAAAAATATTTTTAAGGACTGCAGGTCATCTTTGTGACCATCTTTTGAGCTGTTTTTTGAGAAAGGATGCAGCTGTTCATTGTCTTGCAAATTGAGTTGGTAGCGAAACAAGAATCTCCACCAGAATGACTTTAAGAGAGACACAACATTACAAAATAAACCTGCAAATGTCTGATTCTCTTAAACCCATACCTCCCCCCCCATTTCCCATTCCCAGTGGGTCTGTTTCTGAAATCAAAGAAGGTGATAGAAAAAACAGTTTTAGTCTGTGTGCACGATCAGACAGATCAGTGTTATTGATCATGTTTGTTCTCCTCCAGGTTGGAGGTGCAGGCGGGAGAGCTGGCTAAAGAGTCCGCTCAGAGGGAGACGGGCAGCCTGGGAGCAGGGAGCGACTGCGCCAGCACCCGAGGGATGGCCGGATCTATAATCTCCTCCTACACACTACCTGACAGGTGACCCTTTACTCTTCTTCTCTGGTGTCTTTGACCTCTTTCTCTCGCCTTGCCATACAACATGTTTAATACTTCTTCACACACTCTCTGTGAGTTGTGTTAGCTGTCTGAGGTTCAAGTCATCTTCTAGTCAACATACTTTCTAAATAATATTTTTAATAAATATTAGAATCCATGTTTAGCAGGAATGGCCTAAAGGCTCAACAGTCTTTAGATGTTTGATCTAAACACAGGAAGTGTCTCACTGGGCCTGACTTGTTGTGAATCTCTGCAGGGACTGCACCAACCTGGAGATCCAGGTGGACATCGAGACCAAACCCAGCCATCTCTGCCTGACCAGCGAAGAGGACCTAACCCCGCCTCCCGGCTCTGCTGCCATGGCGACCGTCTCAGGAGGGGAGGAGCCCCAGGACTGCAGCTCCAGGAGGGGCGGGGCTTTGTCCGGCTCTGCGTTGGGACTGTCTGCAGGCGCGTCGATCCGGGAGGGGCTCCGAGACGTCACGCTGGCCCAGCCGGAGAGCATCCGCAGCGACCTGGAGATGTCGGACACTCAGTCGGACGACATCGCAGAGCTGACATCCGACGACTGTGACTCCCCACACCCAAAAAGCTGTCACCTGGCCGCCGGCCAGCAGGCCCAGCCCCCCTCCTGCCGAGCCCTAAACCCCCCCGAAGGCCTTCACTGTCCCGCAGACGGCAACGTCATCCTCTACGTCTGAGAGAAACGCTGCTCTCAGGATTGCACAAAAAACAAACACCCCCCCCCGCAAAGATTACACATTTATCCTCCTCTTCTTCATCATGGCTTTTTCTCTTTATTTCTGGTTTGCTGCTTCTGTGACTCACACACACACACACACACACACACACACACACGTCTTCAACACAAACAGTTTGCTTACTTTTGTCCGTCTGTCTTATCTTTCTACCTGTCAATCTCCTCACTGAGAACATTGTCAGGGTTCTACCTCTGAGATTTCTAACACGATGATTTATGTTTACTCCTCGGTGCAAATGCCTTGGCTACTTAAGCAAAAAAAAAAAAGAAAAGAAAAAAAAAGAGGTACACATTTTCCAGAAGAAATCTCAAAATTAAAAGACAAGGTGATAAGTCACCGAGCACAGCAGAAGGAGGATCGCTTGCATAGGACGACGGGGATGTTTATAACAATGTGTGAATGAATGTGGACTTTACTATCGTGGCTTTATTTCTCCTCTCTCTCTCTCTCGCTCTCTCTCTCTCTCTCTCTTCTATTTATATTCAGATGACCTTGAATTTGAATATTTCCTGTGTGCATGAGTCTGCCTGAGTCTGGTGTGAGAGGATGAAGAAGAAGGCAGTGAGATTCTGTCACTGGCGGGGAAAGTTAAAGTTTACTTGAGAGGAGGAAGCTGCACTGAAATCTCATTTTCCCTGCACAGAGGAGGAGGAGGAGGAGGAGGAGGAGGAGGAGGAGGAGGAGGAGGAGGAGGAGGAGGAGGAGGAGGATGCAGTGTTTGGAATTAAAGAAAATAAGTGATTGAGTTCTGACAATGACTTGGAGAGAGAGGCGCTGAGGTTTAACTGCACTGAGAGAAGCCGTTTTCCTCTATTTTTTATTTTTTTTACCTTTTAGGACCTCTTTCAGGCTTGTCTTTTATTTATTTGCACTGAGATGATCGGACATATTTATTGTTTTACAAATAATCCACGGTGCGTAAGGCAAGATATATGCCACATCTTTGACGTATCAAACTAAATTATCAAAACATTTTCAGCACTTAACCGGAGAGATACACTTTAATGTCCTCGTAGGGACTTTTGTCTCGGCGTTGTCCTGCATGTTTACAGAGAATAAAACAAACTCTAACAGAAACACACAATTACTTTGACTTGAAGTAGAAAAAAACACTTTTACACAATTACATTAACAATATTTGTTTTTTTACATATATTTTTGGGCTATTTGCCTTTATTTGATCAGACAGTGGACAGAGTTGGTAATCAGGGAGAGAGAGAGAGAGAGTGTAGGGAATGAGCTGCAGGTCAGATGGACTACAGCCTCCGTACATTGGGTGCAACCTAACCGCTAAGCCGCCTGCGCCCCGTATTGAAAAAGTGTTTGATCTGCAGTTGTCTTCATTTTTAAGTTTTGTTGATGAGTGCTCTCTTTTTGAACAAGAGGCTTAAGACAAACAATCGGCAGATTAAAAAAAACAGCAAACTGTCACTTTCTCAAAAAATGAAAACCCGAGATCATCTCTAAACATTTTAGACAAACTGGCGTCTGACCGCTTTTTCTCTGGTAGGGATGATGAACACTTGACTTCCCCGCTGACACTGTCTCTCTCTCTCTTACCCAATCCTGCTCCCTCGTCATTGTCAGAACTCTCTCCTGATTGGTCCTTGAGTGTGTGTGTGTCTCTTGTGACACACACACCCAGCCGGTTTTGGTCTTTGATGTGGTTACTGGCAATCTGACCCACTTGAATGTTCTGTGTGTTTGTGTGTGTGCGTATGCGTGTGCGTGTGTGTGTGTGTGTGTGTGTGTGTGTGTGTGTGTGTGTGTGTGTGTGTGTACAGACTCTTTCTGAATGTATTTGTTGGTCTCACTTGTTGTTTTTTTTGAATGAGCACTTGTGCACTTTATCTGAATTGATCTTATTTATCTTTTATTTTTTGTTGCTTTTCATCCTGTGTTGCTCTGAGTGAGTTTACTCCAGTTTCATACTGAAAGTCTGTGGTACAACCAAAATAAATCACCTCCTGAAGGCCTTTTATGTTGGATGTAACTAACGAAGAGTTTGGCTCCAGAATCATCTATAATCATTCTCCAAGATAAATGCTCTGTCATGTTTATTATTCTGTATTTTTAAGGTCACTCTGTGGGTTTATATCAACTCTATGATCCTCTAATTATCCTGTTTTTTTATCTCTAACTTCATCATTTTGTATTTTACCAATCATCTCTTTTTGGTCTTTTGGAGCCAAACTCTTCAAACATCAACGCCGATAAGCTCTTTTTTAATCATGCTCACCTGCCTGAATTGTTTCTTAGCTTTGTATCACCTCTGTGCTTCAGTTTCACAAACGGCTCCCTCCAGGTTTTCCTTTTAATCGGAAAAGGAATCAACTCGGGAGCCTTTCTCATCTCAGAGTAGCTTTATGGATTTAGCTGCTTATAGAAGTTGGCGGTGCTTTGTTTGGTCTGCACTTATCACTCGTTTCCGCCTCTCTGCCTGTGAGAAAACACGAGAATGTACCACAGACGGAGCGCCCACAGGTGGTCCGGTCATGATTTTGGGAAGGTTTTAGAGTATATAGATAGCAATATTTAAGTGTTATTATATTGTTTGTGTATTTCCTGTCACTGTTAAAAGCCCCTGCGCTGTGTGGGGTTCTACATGCAGGACTGTGAAAGACGACTTGTGGACCTTTGGGGAAGAATAAATAAAACACAATCTGATGTTGCACCAAAGCATTGCGTTGTGGTTTATTACACCGTGCACAACAGAAACTAACACAACTGTTTCTCTGTCATTCTTTGATCATCTACACCGGGAATGAAATCGTCACAGTATGCAGCCCTTTACTGAAATGGAAGAAGTCTTAATAACAATAACTTTATTTATACAGCACCTTTAAAAACACGGGTTAACAAAGTGCTTTGAATTGACAGAAAAAGCATTAAAAAAAAAAGGAGCATCAACGACAGCAAGAATATAGACAACGCAAAATAACCAGGATAATAAAAAACAACCCAAACACATAAGAACCAGTACAGCAAAATACCCAACAAAGATATTTAACCATCATAAGAACCAGTACAGCAAAATACCCAACAAAGATATTTAACCATCATAAGAACCAGTAAGGCAAAATACCCAACAAAGATATTTAACCATCATAAGAACCCGTACAGCAAAAAGCTCAGCTCAGTTTAAGTTAAGATCTCAAAGAGGCTGCAAAAAAAAAGAAAAACCTTGTTGTAGTTGTCACTGTTTTCTTACATATGCTGGTAAGGATGGAGTTGTTGATCTGGATATGAGCACCTCTGGCCTTGTGCCGACCACCATTAAGGTAAAGCAAGATTATTCCTATAGCAGGTTTGAAGCAACAGGGTTCTTCAAAGTGCTTCACACAAGACTTCCAACACATCGAGACAAAGAGGAAAAATGAACAAAAATAAAATATAATGAATCAGTTTCAAACAAAATAGTAAAAGTTACAGTACAGTGTTATAGTTAAACTGGGTATTAACATTAAAATGTCCCCTCTCATTTCAAAACAAATGTATAATTTAATTTCATATTTAATTGTTCCACTCATGGAAATACTCACAGCCCTCCACAACACACGTGAACCATGTACTGTCTCCCAAATAGCAACCAACACTACAGCAACAACAAGAATATAAATAAACAAAGGAAAAAACACCAAAAAGACACTCGCTGCCAGTTTAATAAAGTCTAATAATTCTCTCCTTATTCATTTTCTTAAATTCAAATGGACTCATACAGCTCTTCAAATCAAATCCAAAACCTACAAGAGGATATAAGATTCTTAAGAGAAAGTATCATTTATTAGAAACAGTATTTTACTGAATTAAAGGCCTTAACCAGCAGACGGCAGCATTGCGACTCTCCACAGTACAGGTTCTTGTTCTTACGACACATCCGTCCTCTTTACGCTCGCCTTGACGTCAGCCGTAAAGTGAAACGTGTGAAGTCGGAGGAAGGTTAAAGTGAGCCCTGCTAAACACGGTAAATATGTGTTTTTATGCGCAATTCTTACATTTTAGCGACTCGTTAGTTATAATGATGTATTGTAGAAATGATATGTGGTTACAAAAATACCAGAAGTGTGTAAATATTGTGTCGTAAAAGCTAAACGGACAAGGTTAGTCAGTTCTCTGTTATCGTTAGCTTCAGCTTTAGCTACAGAGAGCTAGCTGGCTAATCTTCAGTTCTGTGTTTACATAATTAAATTACATAATTAAATTACATAATTACATTTATTCAGCTACAAATTAAAGTATTTCACTGTGCACCAGTGTCTCTAATTAATTAATGTCGTTTTATATGTAATTTATCTTCAAGAGTATTTACAGTAACAGGTTGTCTTATTGTCATTATAAATTATAGATTAGAATAGAATAGAATATTATAGAGTAGAATAGAATAGAATTACTTTATTGATCCCAAACTGGGAAATTGTGGTGTTACAGCAGCAGGTTATCCAAACACACAATATGAGTAAAAAACACAATGTTAGCAAATCTAAACATAATATAATATTAAATACAAAGTAAATAAGTACTAAAAATATCAAAACTAAGAATGTGAATATATACAACCAAGATTTAACTGAGCATTACTAGTCTTAAATAGGAAGATTAAATATGGAAGATTAAATATGGAAGATTAAATATTAAAGATTAAATGTAAATGTGCAAAAACAGAGTTATAAATGGACAGTATTGACATAAGTTTAAGTGCATGAGTGTAAACATATTATAAGCAGAAACTATACAATATAACAGTGAGTGACAGACAAATGAAGTGAACATGAGTGCAGGGATCATTTGTAAATGTAACATGTGCAGAACAGATGACAGTAAAGGAGAGACAGATATTATCATGATGACAGTTCTCTGCTCGCATGAGGTGAGCTGTTGTTACTATAGTATAGTAAATATGAAAATAAGGTATGTTTTATTTTTTTATTTGTCAATTTTATTTCATTCAAAGAAACAATAAAGTTCAGAAAAACAAACATAAAATCTCAAATTTTGAATGAAAAGGAGCAGAAAGAAGACTTATCTTATATATTTTTTATTGAACCAGGAGAAAGTCTCATTGGCCAAGACAGGCAGCAGCAACATTACAGGGTTTCATAAAACACTTAACAACAATGAACATAAATACATGAATCACAAAAAGAACCATTCATCAGAATCTGTCAGAAGTCATCAGCAACAAAGCGATCAAAAAGGGCAAATACGAGTTAGTTAAAACATCTACAGTCAGATGTTTCATTAAGACCACCTTTAAAAACATTCAGGGAAACCAGCTCCTGAAGACTTAAAGTATCTTGCGACCGATTCCCCCTTTTTCCTATTTCAGTACGGGCTTTAGGGATGGTTAGAAGGTGTAAATCCTGCGAGCGAAGATGGTAACTTCCAGTACTTTTTTGAAGTATGTAGCTCTGTAGGTAGGATGGAAGCAGACCGAGAATACCCTTATAAATAAGAATATTCCAGTGATTTAGGCAGTCCAACCAACCAATAATATCTGCCCCTCTTTCACAAAACTTTAATTAAAACAAAACAGAACACTTAATTCAAAAACAATTAAAATTAAATTGGCTGCAGGCAAACACAGCCACTGGCAGCCCCACTGTAAGTCCTCCTTACCAATTCATTTTACACCGTACAAAGCATATCACAATACATTTTTGTTACAGCATCACGAAACAAAACAGTATCTCACTGACATATTTCCACATATTTATTCAACAAACTGGCTTTAATTTTTCTTTTAAATATCCTGTTTGATTTTGATTCTTTAGTTTCTCTGTTGAGATTCTTCCATAAATCGATTTCCTTTCACAGTAAAACAACGTTCCCTCAATTTGGTTCTGAATCTCGGTTTATTAAAGATCTCTGTTCCTTTTGAATTATTTTAAATTATATATTTTTGTGTGTATCAGTATTTATTATTCTATGCAAATACAAATCAGACTTGTGTACCCCTTGGTGTGACTTCTGCCAGCTGTAAGATTATCATGAATGATTGAAGGTTATGATAAATCGTTGTATTCATGTTTATTTGTATTGTGACATTAATGGAGCAGATATATAAAAACACATTACAGCACCTATAGCCTAAAGTGATTTGTGTTGCCGTCCCTGGATGGGCCTTTAAGATGCATCAACTCAACCACAGATAAACAAGAAACAGAACAAGCACAACAACAAACGACAGGATAAAAAGTATCATACATTTAAACAGTAAAACAGGAAGTATGAGGTTATTCATGACTACAAGACCGAGTCCTCTTGTTTCAGTTTAAAATGATGCCAGTCTGAATGAGGGCTGCTCGATTATGGCACCAAAAAAAAACCAACTGCAATCACAGTTATTTGATAGATATTAGGGCCGGGCGATGTGGACCAAAACTCATATCTACATATTGTTTAGCTGAATGGCGATACTTGATATCGTTATGTATTTTATTAACAGTGAAAACACATGGAAAATAAACTACCTGTTTGTGAATTTAAAAAGTAATATTATAAAATAAAAATGTTCCTTAAATACAATAAAAGAGAGAGAGAGGAGGGAGAGACAGTCAGTCATCATCAGTGAGATGAGAAAAAGATGACCTGGCACCTCTGTGACGTTATTTTAATGCAGCATAACCTATATTGATTTTAACGATATTGTCTTACACTATATCTTGTTTGAAAATATATTGATATATCTTAAAAACTCGATATATTGCCCAGCCCTAATAGATATTGAGATCACAATTATTAAATATGATTACTCGTTGACTTTGACAAACAAGCAGCTAATGAGAATAAAAAGGTGTTAATATATAATAATAATAATAATAAATAAATACATATAAATGAACTGTGATTGTGAGGTAGTGGGGGAAAGGACTCTTGTGGCTAAAATATAGAACAACAGACACTTTGAAATGTTGACCACACATGACAAAACAAGAGCAACACAGCATGCAGCACAGTTATCGTTTTATCTCGATTATCTTGTTTTCATGATCATGGGAGGCTAAAACCATAATTGAGAATGCAACTTGATTAATTGCGCAGCTATTGGATCTGTTTGAGATCTACAGGTAAAGTATTCCAGGCGTTTTATGATTTATGAAATTGCTTCAGGTGTTTTAGAGCCTGATAGTCTCAGTGGAGCCACGACGTCACCAAGTACCTGAAAGGCCTGATGATTTAAACATTTATCTATGAGTTTAAGAGGCTAATGTGTCCCTGTTGTGTAATGTGTTTCCACTCCACCCCTCTCCACTGCTCCTCCAACAGCATCATGCCGTTTGTGGACATCCAGTCGCGGCTCGGCATCAACTTGGACCGCTGGATGCTGGTGCAGAGCGGACCACAGCCAAACAATAGACCGGCACGCTGCCACGCCTTCGAGAAGGAGTGGATTGAATGCGCTCACGGCATCGGGCAGACCCGCGCCAAGCAGGAGTGCAAGCTGGAGTTTGAGGACTTCTACGAGTGCATGCACAGGCAGAAGACGGTAAGTGTCCATAGATGCTCCTGTCACTGTGTGTGACTGTTTCACCTCTTATCAGACTTCATTCTTCAACATCATCCCGCTGTCTTCATATTCGGCACTAGTGATTCGATAATTGTATCACACGCGTTAGGATGGGTTAGGGTTAGAGGGTAGGGATGAAAATATGTTGCTGTATCAATATTTAGTCCCATTCCTACTTCATATACATTCTTGTATACGATTATGGGTCAATTGTTTTTAATAAGGATTTTGGTTAAGGAAAGCAATATATGGGGAGCTTGTGGGGTACTTGTTGCTGCGTGCAACCCATGTATGGAGGCTGTAGTCCTCCATGCAAACGGCCCGGGTTCAAATCTGCCCTGTGGCTCCTTTCCCGCGTGTTCCCCACTCTCTCTCTCCCTCATTTCTAACTCTGTCCTATCTCTAAATAAAGGCCTAAAAAAAGCCCCAAAATAAACCTTTTAAAGAAAAACGGAAAGCAATATTTGTAACCTGACTTGTTCTAATCAAAGCTGGGTAAAGGTTTGAGATATTAACTCTTCATGAATCATCTATTCTTCACTCTCAGAGTGCTGTGAGGTCAACCAGTAGAGTTCAAACACAGGACTCTGTGGCCTCCACTGCTGTACAAAATGTTCTAATACGATACTTTCACTCAATTAAAGCAAATGTCATAGTTTTAGTAGTCCTTTTAACCCGAGAAACATTCACCCTGTGCTTGTATCTGATCTTGAACAGAGTCTGGTGTGATGGATCTGAGGGAGATAGAAAAAGGAGGACATGTTGATCAGAAATGATAAAAATCTTTATTATTCTTAAATGACTATAAATTTAAAAAGAAAACAAGCATCCAGGACTGATACTCTACAAACAATCAATACAACGATCCTTTACATAGAGTCAGAGTTGATGTGAGCTCGGCCTTAAAGGCAACATGACTCAGCAGAGGAGAGACTGACAGACACTCTGCCGGCTCTCTGTGAACGAGCTGCTGCAGCAGGAACTTTCTGTCTGCGTCCACACTCACTCACAGATCTCCTCTCGTCTCATTCTGTCAGAGGACGGCGCTGACGCAGGACGACGTGCTGATTTGAGATAAACGATAGGAAACTTTAGAGTCGGGCTAAACGCTCATGTCGTGTTGTCTGCTGAGTCATGGTCTGGAAACAAGACAAGTTAAATGTATTTCCCTTTTTCAGTTTTCCAATTCATTAAATGTTTTTTTTTTTTTTAAGTTTGTAATGGTCATATCCAAACGTTGTTCTGTTGCCGTCTTTCTTGATCCCATACGTCTCACGACACATCTGTAGACTCGGTGTCCTCTCCTCTCTCCGTCTCTGCATCCCGTCCTAAACTTCTCTCTCCTCCTCGTCCTCCTGCAGCACCAGCGGCTGTATGCCATCCGTCAGCAGCGAGCAAAGATGATCAAGGAGGGGACGTACACGCCTCCACCGCACCACACCGGAGAAAAAGAGGACCAGGCACCCTGAAGTCTGCACTTCTCTTCTTGTTTATAATCAGAGATCCATATTTCCTGTTCACCTGTGCAAGTTTGCAAATAAATGTTATCGTCCACTATCCTCTTCTTCTGCTCTCTTCCTTCACTTTGACTTACGCTATATAAGTCTAATGTATTATTATCATTATTAAAAATATACACAATATGAACAAAAATACAAACGTAGCTAAATGAGGAGACAAAATCTGGAATAGAGGCTGATATTTAAGGATTTTTTAAAAACTTAACATCATAAAATGTTGAACTCTCAAGATAACAGGGAGGGCTGGCCCTGCCAAATTTTAAGGTGTACTTTTGGTCCTTTGTGTTACGTCCTCTCTCTACATGGTTCAATCCTAGCTCCTCTGTCGCTTGGAGACCAATTGAGGAGAATATTTTGCTACCTCATAGGTTGCAGGACCTAGTGTATTCCAACATCCCTTTGAAAAAAGCCAAATTGCGTCTAGGACCTATAATTTAATTTCTGCTTACAACCTACCGTACTGTCATGAGACATGTCCACTCAGACCTTCAGTGGCACAGTCATTCACCTATATTCAACAATTTCTCGCTTCTTACTGCTAATATACCTTTCTCTTTCCCACGTCGGAGGAGCAGGGGAATTCATGTTTTAAAAGGGGAAGATGTTTTTTGTACATTTCTAAATAAAACATTGATCACCAAAATAAAATGTTGAAGTCTCAGGAACAGCACAGTAATATATTTCTATTTTCTATTAAATGTTTTCCGTCTCCCGGCCTATTGTGGACTGTTGGCATCGTGTTAACCGCCACAAATAGTCGTTGAATTGATCAGTTGATACTCAGAAAACTCATTTCAGCCTGTGTTCAAGCAGAAACATCAAACATGTCCTCGCTGCAGCCTCCTGCTTTTGAGCATTTGCTGCTCTGTTGTCACTTCAGACAACAGATGAAGAGTCTTTGAGGTTTGTGGTGTTGTGGTCGGACAAAAGAAGCAAAATCAAGACATCACTTTCAGGCTCTGGAAAAACTGTGGTAAGCGTTTTTCATAATATTTCTCATTAGATAGACTAAAGGATTAATTCTGAATAAAACCAGCAGACTAAGCACCATTTAAATCATTGTTAGCAGAAATGCTAAGTCAGCTGTTTTGTTCATTATTGGCCTGATGAAGCAATGCAGTATAAATGTCCCAAATCCTCGTGCTCTAGTTATGAAATATAATTCAAACCTGTGATTGAAGTGTAGCTGTGATGTGAGGGATGATGTGTAACCGGTTGTGCGTCTGCTGGACATTGGAGGGTGTGTTTGTGTATCTCCAGAGGCGCTGTGTGTCACCAGGCAAGGCAGACAACTGCTTGGGGCCCCAGACCGGTAGTGGGGCCCTGAGGGTTGACAGACTTAAATCAAAGCAGTGGCCCAAAATGTGCAAATTTGGCAATGACAGTGGGAACACTCCCTAAGGGGGCCCCATCAGCAAGCACTCGCTCTTGTTGCCCTGCTAAGCGTTGCATGCAATACCGCTGTGAAAAACAGAGTTTGTCAATGAAAGTCAATAAAGAAAAAGGAAGAGGAAATATCTGTTTATTTTTAGGATAGGATAGAATAATACTTTATTGATCCCCAGAGGGGAAATTCGGGCGTTACAGCAGCACAGACAAGAAAGCTCAAATACACATTAAACAGAATAGATAAGATAAATAAAAATAAAAATAAAAACGGGGTATATACAAGAACAAAATGAATGATGAAGTTAACTGGGGGGAATTGAGAATTGAAACAGTATTTGAAGAGAATGACAAGTTAAAGTGACAACTGATGATTAAAGTGACTTGGTATGATAAATAAATAGCAGCAAGTGACTTAAACAGCAGAGAAGAGAGGCAGTGTTGTACCACAGTAATGCAGAGTGCAGTTATATAATATAATGTAGTATAATATAATATAATATAGTGTAGTATAATATGATATAATGTAGTATGATATAATATAATATAATGTAGTATAATATGATATAATGTAGTATGATATAATATAATATAATGTAGTATAATATGATATAATGTAGTATGATATAATGTAGTATAATATAATATAATATAGTGCAATATGAACAATATAGTGTAATATAATGAAATGTTATATAATATAGACTAGTATAATAATAAATATACAGTACAGTATATATGTGTATGTATGTATGTGTGTGTGTGTGTGTGTGTGTGTGTGTATATGTATGCATATATATATATATATATATATATATATATATATATATTTTTTTTTGACCTAAGGGCCCCAACAGACTCTTGTATCTCTGGTACACACACACACACACACAGATGCTGGGGAGTGGGGACAGACGTCATGTCTCCTCTCCAGCGGTGTTCACCTTTTTATTGTGTTAAACGTGAATGGCAGTTAGACCACAGTCCATTCTCTTCACCCACACTGACCTGATTTCAGAAAATCATTGACCGGATTAGCCGGTTAGCGCTCTCCGATGAGAGGCTGATATGAATGGATGATGTTCGACATCCTAATTCAATTGCAGGCGTTTAGCTCGGACTGATGGGATTAGGAGGGACTGTGATCTGCCACAAGATGGCGCCGAGAGCACAGATAAGAACAGGGGACATGAGCATGCAGACTTGATGAAGAACTGGAAAAGTATTTCTGGTATTATGAACGTTTGACTCTGTTTCAATACGTCACTGTAGCTCAAAGTACACACGTGTTGTTTCAGATTTAAATTGTTTAAGAGTCCTCAGATTGAGTTGTGAGTGCAGAGTTCAGCCTGAAGCTTCGTGTATTGAAACCTCCAGATTTCACAGCTTAAGGGTTTAATATGATGTGGCTGTGGATCAGTGGTAGAGTCAGCCGTCTCTCAGCCTGAAGCGCTGTGGTTTGATCCCCAGCTCCTGCAGACACATGTCCGATGTGTACGATGTTTCTTTGGGCGAGATGCTTAACCCCAAATTGTAAATTGTTACTTCTGATGGACTCTTTACTCAGCAGCCTCTACCGTCAGTGTGTGAATGTGTAGGTGTGACCTGCGGTGTAAAAGAGCTTTGAGTCGTCAGAAAAGAAATAAACAAGCTCAAGTCCATTTACAAACTTATTTTCCTCCATTTTAAGGCATTTTGTTTTGTAAAAAATGGGTTTTATAAAACAGGAACATAGATGCAGATTTGTAAAAAAACCCAATAATAATAAAGTGAAGAAGACTGAAGAGAAAGCTTTTAACATGTTTGGTGTTCAAGATCTGGATATTCCTTAAATTGAAATATACTCCTTGAAAATGTTCCATTAACGTAATCTTTGGTTTCTTCTATAAAATCACTCGTGCACATCCAAAAATCTTTCTATATTTAAACAAAGTGTTGTGTGCTGTACATTTCTAACACTGGGAGGTTTGAATCTGTGGGCTTGAACCTGAAGCCTCAGATTCTTAGAGTGTCCTTTCCTCTGTTTCCTGCTGTTGTTTATGCATTTATGCGTTTATTGTACCAAGCTACACATGATGATGCTTCAAGAGTCTGAACATTTTTTTGTAGGTGTCCTTAAATTGCCTGACCTTTATTTTTTATTTCTACACGTTCAGGATTGAGCAAGTTAAACAAAACAAATACAGACATGCACATTTAAAAACATCAAATGAGTGTGAGACAAACGTTGAACTGTGTGTTTACCAGCTTCCCAAACAATCTTAACCACAAACTCAGTCAAACTTCTTCGATTAGAACCATTAAAGTGAAAGCATGAGAATGAAAGCTGTGTCCGCAGAGAGTCGACCCTCTCTCCCTCTTTCACCTGTGGCCTCATCAAACTGAAACTACAGACAATGAAGCCCCGATCTCACAACACGGTGCATCTCCTCGAGCAATGACTCTCATCATCACGAGGTTTCAATTGAGCAAATGAAATTATCCTGAGTTCACAGCCAAAGACGACGTCACCGTACTGCACATTCACGTCAGGAGCTTCAGGTTTACAGGCCAGCTGCTGAAGGATAATCGATCAAACATCGTTTAATAATTAACTAATAGTGGAAACATGAGGTGTGATGAAAGTGACCTTTACCCTTTGTGGTCACAGCAACCTTCAGATCATGTGTCCATTAGCTCCTGTTTGTTGAAAGCTGCAGCAGCTCAGAGACTTCACTCCCTCTGACCGGCTGAGACAGAGGATGACAGAGTCTGGATTATCCTGCAGCAGAGACCTAACACCCCCCCCCCCCCCAAACAAACAAACACAAAGCAATCCCAGTGATTGAGTCAGTGCTTCATCAATCCCAGACAGTCAGACACATCGACTAATAGAAGATCGTTCTCCATGAATCCCTCTAATCCTGATCATATAAAAACCTGTCTCCTTCACCGTCAGGCTCTGCTGCAGCTCATGTGACAGCATGGCACCCCGTCTTTATGTGCAGGAGATACTACATAAATAATCAAAGTTACTAATGCAATTAAATGATTTTTTGTATTGTTCATCTGCAGACATTTCCTCATCTCTACCTCAGTATTAAAATCAGAGTTTGAACGTCTCAGTAAGTCTGAGCACCGTGCATGGTCGAAGTTATAAACTACAGTTCATATGCAATTTAAAATAATATAATTTACACTAAACGGGAGGTTCTCAACTAGTGGGTGGAGATCCAAAAGTGGGTCGTGGAGACGTTCTCTATGGGTCCTGATTGTGTGCCTGGAAAAATAAAGTCTATGAAGCGTTTTTTTTTTTAAACCTGTTTTTTTTTTTGTTTCTTTTCTTTTTTCTGTCCCATGTTTTGTACTGACTGAGGTCCGAACTCTTTAACTTTTCATTAAATAAATCAGATGGAGTTGAGGGTGGGTCCTGAGGATAGACCAGTTGAGAACCACTGCACTAAGTCATGTCATTATTGTGTGTCGTTAAAGCTCCTGTGAGGAGATTTTACCGCCCCTTCTTGATTATTCAGTGATGGAGAAGTGACATTGAATCTTCATGTTTGCTGGATGGGGCTAAAATCGTTCTTAAAACATGTAGTCTGACTTTAGCATCACACGTGAACAGGACAGGATGAACAAAGGGACAAGATGTATTGCTTTATCCACAGG